CATTTGCATAAAGTATTTTGTGAATCTAAAGAATTAAAACTTTTGTAATAGTAGACTATTGTTCAGAAAGAGCAAAGGTTGGAAATTGCAACATTTTTTTTCTCTTAAAGCAATGTTTGAGTGACAAAGCAAGCAACAATAAAATGGCTTGACTATGACTATGGCAAACAGCCAGGGTTCCTTATAATTCAAATCACAGCCAGTCTGGTTGTCATTAACAAAGACAAAATTGAAAATAATAACATGTGGCAGTTGTCCCATGTTGGACTGAAATGATTCACCAGTTAGAATGCAGTTGAGTGGAAAAGAGCTTTTCTTAAATTGATTTAAGGTTAGAGAGTCTGTAGATCATTAACCTCTGTACCAAATTAATACATTTTCAGGAAATGAAAGTTATTTAGGGGGTAAAAAACTAACTCTGATTTTCCTAGGTAAGGGTTCCAGATAAAAGGTGAAAATGCAGAATATTTTTCCCCAGCATTTTGGGGAAGAAGTTTATTAAGTGTCATTAAGTTTAGACTATTATGAGAAGCAGTGCAAGTACAAAGAAAAAGCACAGAAGAAAGAGTGCAAATTTGAATAGAGTAGTGATTAACTGTACCATCATGTAATTTTATTTTATGATAGAAAAAATAATACATTTTTGGCAATATCAGTTTAATTCAAATCTTAAAATATAACTACAATTTGTAGTCCAGCATTCCTTTCAAGTTACACATTTTTGTTGGGCTAATTGCAGTAACTCTCAGCTTGCTAAAGAAGCCACCACTGGCTAAATTGATATGTAAGGTATGAAGTACATTTTTTAAAGTACAATGGCTGGTGTTACACAAGCTAACAAAAAAATCAAATGAACCACAAACAGCTATCATAATACAGCAATCTCAGCAGAGTTCGTGGCTGAGTCACAGTTGTGAATCAGTTAAATTGTTTCTTTCTCAAAACTGCCCTTTAAGCTATAACTTTCCCCTAAACCTGGAGAAATAGCCCTTAGTTTGGGTGACTGCTCACTTCCCTATCTTTTCAGATAATCTGCAGCACAGTAATATAAAAGGCAATTGCTTTTTAACCATTAAGTTAACTTAAGTACAGACATTATAGTTTGTTTATTTATTTATTTATTTATTTATTTATTTATTTATTTATTTATTCGTATTTCTATACCGCCCTTCTCCAAATAGGACTCAGGGCGGTAAACAGCCAAAGTAAAAAACAGAACATACAAATTTAAAAAAAGTTTAAAATAATTAAATATTTTGGCCGTAAATTAAAACAACCCAATTTAAAATAAATTTAAAATTTAGCTCAAGCCAGCCCATCTAGTTGAAATAAATGGGTTTTCAGGGCCCAACGAAAAATCCGGAGGTCTGTTATTGTACGTATCTCTGGGTGGAGGTTGTTCCAGAGGGTGGGCGCTGCCACAGAGAAGGCTCTCCCCCTGGGAGTTGCCAGCCGACATTGTCTGGCGGACGGCACCCTGAGGAGGCTCACTCTGTGCGAGCGAACTGGCCGGTGGGAGGCTATTGGTGGCAAAAGGCGGTCTCGTAAGTTACTGTAATAATCAGAATAATTACAAGAACTACTTGTAATTGATGCTTCATAGATTGATTACTGTAACAAAATGTCATTGCAACACAGAAATGATAGCTCTTGCATCACTGTGTCTTTGTTGAAGCATCAAGGTAGACCAGGGGTGTCAAACTCGTGTCATCACATGATGTATCACAACTTTTTCCCCTTTGCTAAATGGGGGTGGGCGTAGCCAGCGCATGAAGTATCCAGCCTGCAGGCCGCGAGTTTGACACCCCTGAGGTTAGACCATTTCATTATGCTTCAACAAAAATGTTTCCTGCCCTCGACTTGCCATTCATTTGGTGACCATTTGAAGTTACAAGGGCACTGAAAAAAGTGACTTACACCCAGGGGTGAAATCCAGCAGGATCTGACAGGTAGCAGAAATTTTGAGTAATTCGGAGAACCGGTAGCAGAAATTTTGAGTAGTTTGGAGAATCGGCAAATGCCACCTCTGGCTGGCCCCAAAGTGGGGTGGAATGGAGATTTTGCAGTATCCTTCCCCTGGAGTGGGGTGGGAATGGAGATTTTGCAGTATCCTGCCATGCCTACCAAGCCTTGCCCACCAAGCCACACCACGCCCACCAAGCCACGCTCACAGAACTGGTAGTAAAACAATTTGGATTTCACCACTGTTTACACCCGTTTCTCACAGTTACGACTGTCACAGCATTCCTGCATTCATTTGAGTCCTTGGCAACTGGCATGTTTTCATGGTGGTAGCAGAAGCCCGGGGTCACAAGATCGCCCTTTGTAATCTCCCCAGTTAGTTTCTAAAAAGCAAAAGCAATAGGGGAAGCTTAAAGATTTGGATTGATTTGATTAAAGACCACATAATTCACCCCTTGCATAGGAAAAAAAAAATTAATAAAATCAGGCATGACTCATTTAATAACCACCTTGTTTAACAATGAAAATTCTATTCCCAATTGTGATTGAAAGTCAAGGATACCAGTTCATGTACATCATTAAGCCTAATGAAGTGGCTACTTTGACACTTAAATTTTGGTGCATTTAGAAGCAGGGCCTTGTTGCATAAAGATTGACCAAAGGAGTTTTACAATCCTAATTAACTCCAGCCTGTTCTGGAGATGTACATCATAGCAGATGCAATGCATTTAGTAATCCATGTGAAATGCCAATATCGCTCATCTGAACCTTGGAATGCCTGTGAAGGAGGCATTGCTCTTATTTAATCATCTCCTACTTTCAGTAATCAGAATGATCAAGATCTACTCTTGACTTTGTTCATGTAATTCCTAGCTATTTTCCTGCCTCGTGGTTGGGATTGTTTTTTCTTCTTCTGTTCTCCTCACCCTACTTAATGTGGCTATTTTAAACTGAAAGTTTCAGAAAGAAATTCCTTCTGGGGATTTTCAGATTAGTTTACAGGATCTCTATTTGCTATATCCACCAATGTATTAGGTATTTCCAGATTAACTGGAAATCATAATTTCAAACCACGCAGTGTGTTTTCAAGTTTGCCTCTCAAACATGAAAAAAATTAACTTATGGTATAATTTAATTTGCAAGCCCTTGTTTAATAAAAACACATCATTTTGTTGCCCAACTACACTGTTAAATAAATTGTGCTACAAGAACAGAATAAAATATGTTATTCTGCCAGAATTCTCAAGTAGTGTGTTCTGTCTAATGATATATTTTTTGCCTTTCTTCCCATCATATTGACTCCTAAATCTTAACAGATCACGGGATCAGCCTATTATATGTAGCCACCTTTATGCTCATCCTGTTTTGATCATGCACAGATTGTAAATATATACATCAATCTTCCTCAATTAGTGTCTTTCACATGTCAAATTATGATACACTGAGCTGGGATTGATTGAAAACCAACATATTCGTTGAATGCAAAAGCCTCCAAATGCAGCATGTCCTAAAAACCAGATGCTGTGAAGAAACCGTTGTAGGAAGAAAAATTCAATCCGGTTTTAAGCTGGTAGAAGAAAACTCTGGAAATAAAATGGAGGCTGGCTATAAGGAAAGATCTCTGTTTATTTGGTTTTCCAGAAACTTCAGTGACAGCAGCATGTTTCTGGAGTGGCTGACCCATTGGCTGGGTGAGTGGATGGATTTTTATAGGGTTCTGGGGTTTTGTGATTGAGATGCTCCAGGGGGTTGTGCAATGTAGTGAGCCTTGTGTGTTTTACTATTTCAATGGTGGTGGGTTAATCCTATTATGTCCTAAAGGTCATGTCCTATCCTTAGAATTTGGATGGAGGGATATAAATTCTTAATCCCATCAACTCCAGCCTGGGGGAGCTGTGACTGGCCTGGATTTCTGTAAATGGATACTGAATGGAATGCTAGTGTTTTCTCAATAGATACAAAAGTATCTCATTCATAAAACTTCACTGTTGGAGGGACTGCCTGGAGTGTTTTCCTGGTAGTGGAGAGAAGTGAATAATTTGATCCTAGGAAAACCTTTCTGGGTGTGTGTTGATTTCCTACACCGTGGAACAACACTATTACTTTCATGTCCTCCAGAGGAGTTTCTTAGATGTATCTGAGCATGTATGACACACAGCGCTGAACTAGACTGGCCTGAAGCAGTAGGTTTCTTATGACGGGAGTAGATTGGGTAGAGGTTTGTTCAGCTTTTCTACAATCAAGTGAAGAACCAGTTTAGTGTAGTCCTTAAGGCACCAGACTAGAAACTGGGAGACCAAGTTCTAGTACTATTTTAGCCATAAAGCCAGCTGGATGACTTTGGGCCAGTCACTTTCTCTCAGCCCTAGGAGGCAGGCAAGGGCAAACCACTTCTGTAACCTTGCCAAGAAAATTGCATGGACTAACCCAGGCGTGGACTAACCCAGGCAACTAACTAAAGGCACAACACTCCCCCTCCCCCAAATCAGGTTTCACTTGCTCATCGTCATTTCATCTCTACGACTGTTTGAACAACTGAAAGTTGGTTTACTATGTTAATTCGCTTCCTGCGTTATCATCACGCCGAAAGTCAGACTTTAGACTGACGCTTTGTGAGTAGGCAGTAAGTTTCACCCTTGGATCTTTTCAAGCTCGTCTTCCGGAACTTGTTTTCCTAAGGATAAATTTTCGGAAGAACCAGCTGCGCTGTTCCTCTCCTTTTTCTAAATTGTCCGCCAAAACTTCTCGCCTTAACAAGAACAGAGGGAGGGAAAATTGGGGGGGGGGAGGAAAAAGGGGAGAAACGGCGCAGGCAGCCAGAAAGAAAGAAACAGCTGCTCTCTCGACAGTCCATTTCCCTTACAGCCAATCCACGAGGAAGTTCCCTCTCTCGGCCAATAAGCCGCGGCCGGTTGACGAGCACCGAACGGCAGCCAATGCCAACCAGAAGGGCGGTAGGCAAGGGGGAAAGGGGTGGGGGGGGTGGAGTGTCTGTTCTTCCCTCCTTCTTCTCCGCCTCCCTTTCAGGTGGGGAAAGGGGTGCGTCCTCGTGCCTAATGGGGTCGGCAGAAGAAGGGGGGAAAAGCGGGTGGTTGAGCAAGACCCCGCAGCCCAGCTGGGCGCAAGTGAGAAAGGAATGGCTCGCGGCGGCGCAAGCGGGGCTGGGGCGGCGCGCGCCTGGCTGAGGCGCTCTGCTCGCTGCCGGGACGCGATCGGAACTAGCGCGCGCCGCCTCCACGCCACCCTGAGCAGCAACAGCAGCCGCCGCCGCCGCCGCCGCCGTCACCGCTTCCCTTCCTCCCCCTGCTCCTCCTCCTCCTCCTCCTCCTCCTCGAGCTGTTGAGGCGCAGGTTTTGCCGGGCGAAAACGTCTCCAAGCTCCCGTCGCGACTCGTTTCATTCCGCCTGGGCGCTGGGGCGCAGGAAAAGGCGAGAGACTTATTCTTGCCCCGATAGCCGCCTCTCCTGCTCTTGCTCGTCGCCTCAGCTCCTGCCCGTCGCTGCCGCTTCCCGAGTGCTTTCTCCGCCTCAGCTCCAGCAAAGAAAGGAAGCCTCCTTTCCGTCGGGGGGGACGGCTCCTTCTTCGCTCCCTCCCTCCTTCCTCTCGCCTTGTCTCTCTCTCTCTCTCTTTTTTTCTCCCTTCCTTTCTGAGGGTGGGAGGGGAGAAGAATAGGAGCCCGGCGAAGGAAGCCAGCCGCGCTCAGCCCGCCCGCCCTGGGTGTGCGTGAAAGAGCCATGCGAGAATACAAAGTGGTCGTGCTTGGCTCTGGCGGGGTGGGCAAATCCGCTCTCACCGTCCAGTTCGTGACGGGCTCCTTCATCGAGAAGTACGATCCTACCATCGAGGACTTTTATCGCAAGGAGATCGAGGTGGATTCCTCGCCGTCGGTACTGGAGATCCTAGACACGGCCGGCACGGAACAGTTCGCCTCCATGCGGGACTTGTATATCAAGAACGGGCAGGGCTTCATCCTGGTTTACAGCCTGGTGAACCAGCAGAGCTTTCAGGACATCAAGCCCATGAGGGATCAGATCATTCGGGTCAAGAGGTACGAGAAGGTGCCCATGATCCTGGTGGGCAACAAGGTGGACCTGGAAGGCGAGCGGGAGGTCTCGTTCGGGGAAGGCAAAGCTCTGGCCGAGGAGTGGAACTGCCCCTTTATGGAAACTTCAGCCAAAAACAAAGCCTCGGTGGACGAGCTCTTTGCCGAGATCGTCCGGCAAATGAACTACGCTTCCCAACCCAACGGGGACGATCAGTGCTGCTCTTCCTGTGTTATCCTCTGAAAAGAAAGAAAGAAAAAAAAACTAGGGTGGGGGAAGAGCACAGCGGCGCGTTGCTTTATGTGGTGTTTTTTTTTAATTATTATTATTTCCTTTCCTTTCTTTTACATTTTGAAATTTAAAAAAAAAAAGGTTTACAGCCAACAGCACCACAAGAAAAGGTGGCGGCAGCTGGAGCAGCAGTGTTGTCATTCTGTGAAACTCCCAAGCCTTTGAAACAAATTTTTGCATTACAACCCGGATCCCTTCCAGGTTATAGTTTATATACTCATGCTGCTGCGGGTGGTTTGTCGGTGTCATGAGTACGCATTGTCTCTCGTTAACATCTGATCCCTCCCAAGGAAAAGAAAAACTACAAAAAAAAAAAAATATCTCTTTGGAAATGTGGCGCTTTCCGCATGTACATGCCAGCGGTTTGATTGTTGCTTATTTCTTGTACTTGCCTCAGTTGGGAGGATTGTATTGGCCATTGATACACCAGTAGGAAAAGTTCCTGTGTTGTTTGCAGCAGGGGCAGCGGGAGGGAATTAAGAATTGCATTATAACTGGAAGATTAAACACGCAGAGACACACCTATAAGAATCGAAGGGAAGCATCGAAGGAAGGAAGTACATGTGGAGGAAGTTCAAATCTTTCACACTTGTCAGCCTGAAATTAGCTAGTGATTAGGCAATTTTTGATTTTGAGGATTTCTATGCAAAGTTGGAATATTTGTTACCATGCTTATCTCGTCCGAAGAAGTATTGCACAAGTACTGCCTGGGACTTTTAATAATACTGATGCCAATACAGCGCATGAGGTGCCACAGAAATATCTGCTGATTACTTGTGAAATCTATTTTGTTTACTTGTTGTATTGAAAGGGAAGGAATGAAGAGCATTTATTTGTGTTGGGTTTTTTTTTTTAAAAAAAGAAAGAAAATCAGCTATGAAAACACTAACAGACTTGCACAGTTTTTAAGTTGTGTGTACTTTGTGGAATGGTTGGGGACAGACAAAGCAGGCACAGTAATAACATGCCTTATTCAATTTGAGGAGGGGGGGTTGGCAATAACCAACTAGATCTCTGAAGTACAAAGAGTTTCTAAAATGTGGCACAGGGTGAACAGCGCCCCTGTGTGTGTAGAGTGCCTTCAAAGCAGCTGTTGCAGCCGGTGCCAACCTGTGGAAGTTCCAAAATCCCATTTATTTACTCCCTCCTCCCCCCCCAGTTAACAGTTTCCTTTCAGTAATTATTATAGTGAACAAGAGAGAACAAAAGGGCCTATTATTAATGAAATTATTTTTCTCTTTTTTAAAATCCATTTTCACTTTAGTTGCCATGGATTTCAGGGTTTTTTTTTTATTATTATTATTATTATTCAGGTTCACAGGTATTAGTGTGCTTTTGTATGAGAGAGTATTTGTGTGTGCACCCCTTCCACCCCCCCACCCCGTTTTCCTCAAAAATGATGTATTTTCAACCAGCAATGAAACAAATTGTTGATGTATCTGAAAAACAAAATCTCTAATTGTAAATTTAAATCCCAGACAGACGTTTATTCATTTCAATATCTTTTAATACAGTTGCCAATTTTTAAAAAAGAACAGTTTTATGGATTTTTATATATTGTGGAAATCTGTGTTATCATAGTAGGTTATAATTTATTGTCGACAAATAATTGTCTAAAGCAATAACAATTGAAGCAAAGTATTTTTACTATGAAGATCTGGTATCTGATCTTGGAACTGAGTGCTAACTTGTGCTGGATTCTGCTAAATCATGATATATATATATATATATATATATTCATATTCATCTTTCAAATGCTTTACAGGATTCAATGCTTAATTTAGTCATAGAAATATAAAATTATAAAGATTCATTAAGATCAACAGCCTGTTTAATGCTGGAACCCAAATTAAATCAACCCAAATAGATTGGTATTCCTCCTCTACTTGAAAATATCTAGTGGATAGGCGCTCTATAAATCTGTTTCTCCATTGAACTGTTTACAATTGAGATTTTTTCTTAATATTCAGATGAAAACTGCTTTTCTTTAAGAGTGTTATTCCATGTCCTACACTCTGAAATGATGAGGAATGAGACTTGACTTCAGTGAGGTGCCCTTTAGGTCTTAAAAATGTTATTATACTCCCCCTCTTTTCTGATCAAAATTAAACGTACCCGGTCTCTCCAAAGGAAAGGCATCATTTCCAGGCATCAGGCCATCCTGATACTCTTCCTGGCATCTCTTCCAATTTCCCATAATATTTTCTTACAATACATTGTTTAGTAAATAACATAATTGTCAAGGTGGAAATCTAACTAATGCAGATTGCAGTGGAGCTATTACTTATATAAGTAATATATATCCTGCTAATATAATCTCATTTTGGGGTAATAGTTTCAAGAATTACTAGATATAAGCACTAGTGATGTCTCTGGTACTATATAGAATTGTTGCCTTAAAATAGGTGCTTAAGATGAGTGCTTGTTTTATTCCCCATGGAAAACAAAAATGCAGGTACCTTGAGCATGAAAAAATTCCAAAATTGTTGGGAGACAGTATTAACATCAACCAAGCCTCTTTCTTCTCATCCTATTTTTTGTAATATCCCACTGGATCAAATTGATTGTGGCGATCTTAAAAGGTCATACATAGTTGAGATTTTTTTAGTTAGTCTAGTAGGGATCCACTGAACTGAATGATACTTATTTTATTGCTCATTTTAGATCACATATTTCCTGATGTTTCCATTATAATACTGTTTAAGTATAGGATACTTGTTTTTTCACCCAAGGAATGCAGTTTTCTGGTTGGTAAACTCAGCTTTGAAATATTAGTAATATACTTCATTAAAAGAGACTGAAAGTTGTTTTTCTATATCTCATCCTCTGGTTTTCAGTGAAGATGTCTGATAATAGAGATTTCTTTCAGAGCACTTGAAATCCTATTGTAGCTTACTACTTTCAGAAACTTATACCAAACAAAAGAAATTGATTGCTCTTCTCCCAAGTAGGCTATGAAAGGGAACTGTTATGAACAAGTATTATATGTTTTATTAATATGATAAACCTCAATGGATTTAGATCTGTTAAAAAAAATCAATGATTTGAAAGCTAGCTTGGTTTTCAGTGGGTTTAAGAAATAAGGAGTTACTTAAATATTGGTGAATTCTCATTATCCTACTTAGTAAACTATCTATTAAAACAATTATAGTATTCTTTAAAACCATAAACCTTAAATATATTCAGTATGAGTCTCATTTTGTATTTAATCAGGAGTGATTTCATGCAATTAAGCAGAATTTCCTTAAATTAAAATTTTAGCCTTAACCTGAGGTCTTTGAATATCATTAGAGAGCAGAATATCTAGAGTAAGAAGTCTAATGACCTCCATACATTTTAGATTTAAACTCTCTTGCCAGTGGTCATGCTGCCTGGCACTGATTGAGCTGAAGTCTAAACTTTAGGGTGTACCTCTTCCTATTCTTGCATCATATAAAATATAATTAGCATACAGTGATTGTAATATAGCAAAGGTACTAAATTAACATTCAAAATGTTAATGTTATGCTTAGAGGAAAAAGGGAAAACACTACTAAAGGTACATTTAGCAGTAACTAAATGGTAATGTAGTTTTCCACAGCCAGATAAATCCAGGTATGATGAGAATGTTAATATCTTTGGCCACATTGTGTTTTGAGAACTGAAGAATTATTCCTGCTGATAACAGAAAAGGTGGCCTTGAGAATACAATAATAAAAACAAAACAGTGACATAGATATGGATAAGGATTTATTGTACTTTCAAGCATATTCAGCTTGATTTCAACTAACTTTAAAAAGTGCTACTTGTATTACTTCATGATACTTCATGATCCAATTATATATTCTAGAACAGAGGTCTTCAAACTTGGCAGCTTTAAGACTTGTGGACTTCAGCTCCCAGAATTCTCCAGCCAGCTATGCCAGCTATGTCCACAAGCCTTAAAGCTCCCAAGTTTGGGGAACCGTGTTCTAGAACCTCAACTCTCAACTTCCCTACTGCCCCAAAAGTTTTTGATGTGTAACTTATCCTAATTTTAAAACTTGAAAAGGTAAATATCAACTACATAGATTTCAGTTGTAAGGGTAACTTAAGTAAATGAATCAATTTGGACATGGATAAAGAAATTTTGGCTGTGGATTAACTGAAGCTGAAGAAATGTTTTGACTTTGAGTTAGTTTTTAATTGTGATGCATGTTGTTCTTATTTAGGAGTGGGTTCAATTCACACACAAGAGTTGTTATTTATAAGCCTTTGAGTTCCGTATGCTTAAGGGAAAGTAATAGACTGTGCCATAAATTCCAGTTTTGTACTAAGCTTCAGCAGTTAAGACATAGACAATGCTCTAAACAGAATCCACAGAGGATCTTATGGCACCTTAAATATATTATAGCATAAGCTATAACAAATGTGTTAGCATTTTAAAAGCTACAGCATTCTTCTTTCTTCTGCAGCACACTAAACATTACCATCCCTTTGTTTTGTACTTAGATTAAAGGAAAAGTCTTTCATGTCAAACCAGACTCTTGGTGACTTCATGAAATGTCCATGCAATTTATTAAGCAATAGCATGGACATGGTTTGCTATCGCTACATTTACAATATATATTTTTAATTTACCTATATTAATTAATTGATTAATGTATAGCCCCAATGTTCTCTGATAGTCTCTGATCCAGGAGAGTGAAGTGTGCTTAGCTTCTGGGCCCAGACAAGGTTTCCTAAATACTGCTACATTCAATTATCAGATATTATTTTTATATTTAAAAAGTACAGTTACTGGTTTAAGAAAAATATAATGATTAAGACAGTATGTTCAACAGAAAGATCATAATGTCATTTCCCAAAGACATAATAATAGAGTATTTTCAGTTATTGTTAATGTATATATTTACTGATTGTTAAACAGAGTTATAAACTTATTTCCAATAATAGGAAAGGTGGACCAAACCAAGAACAGTAGATGAATAAATACAGTAGGGATACAACAAAATACTAAAAGTACAACATATAGTAAGAATGAGTTTTTCCTTGCAGGAAATCTTAAATTCAATCCCCAGCATTTAGACTTTGGTCTAAAACCAAATTATACCAGATAATACAGATTGAGATCACCAGGATAGTGTCCATTGGTGCTAAGATATCTGTAAGACTTCTAAGTGGCTACATATCTACATAGTATAACTTCCATCATCTGAATATGGAATATAATAATATATACATCATCTCACGGAATATATATTTGGTACCTCGGCTAATGTAATATAATGCCTAGGACAAATATTTCTGGTCCTTGTTGGTAGTAATATTTATTTGAAAGTTGCATACAGAACCTATTTCTAATTAGAATATTTGGTTCTGATCAGAAGAGAGAGATTTCAGAATCACACATGAAAATCCAGAGATCGCATAAAATAAAACTAGTGCCACATTGAAAGACTCAGGGCATATAATAAGCACATTTTATATTTAAAAGGTTTTAGATATAGAGCGAAGTTTTATCATTGATTCTTTTCAGCATAGGGTCTTTGCAGTATGCACAAAACAGTGAAGTAGCATTACATTTTGTACATGGTTAGAAAGGATTGCAGAAACAATTCCCTAATCCATGGTTGAGTTTGAGTGAAATTAGATGAAATTCATTGTACACTTTGCCAAAACCTATGGAGGGGAACAGAACCCAATTCTCAGTTTGGTCCTTTCCCACCAAATTTGTAATATTTTCTTATAAAGTGTTATAAAGCATTCTGCATATGTATTCTCTCCTTTTAGAGTTAATTAAGGTTGTGCTATTGATATAATTATAGGGTCTTTGAGGAGTAAAAATAGAGGAAAAATGTATCTTCTAC